ATCTATCCTCCTATCTATACTCTATTCATCTAATATACATACATATACATCTTCATTTATCACACTATATCTCTTACTCTCATTTATCACTCCCTCTTTATTCAACTTATTCTTAATTATTATCCTCTCTCACCTCTTTTTCCCCCCTCTCCCACCACTGCCTGTGCATAGAGATTAAAATTCTATTATCTTATCTTCGTATAATAATTATTCCTCCCCTAATATACCTCTATTATATATTACGTATATACCCTCAACTTACTCACACCTACTCTATGATACTCTACCCTACTTACTATATATACACTTTTATAATATATTTAATTACTTTACTATCAACACACACAACATATATGCATCAAATAAATTACACAAAATTTAACTATATATATACCTTCTACAATGTATATTTCCCATATATACCCCCTAATAGTACTTTAGTTTCTCTAATATATCTATATATAATATCTATATAATATGGAGTTTATCTTAATCTATCTTACTTACTCTATCCATCCTATATTACTCACTACACCACACACTCACAGCACGCAGACATGTATGTCATAAATAAAAAAAAAATAATAAATTATATATATATATGATATTCTATATGACATAAATATATATGTATATCATATATCTCACTCTTATATTATTATACTAATATATATCATATATACTTACTTACTATATATTTCAATCATATCTCCATTCTCATATCTTATTCACTCTATACACTCTTCCACACACACACCACACGCAGACATATTATCGCATAAAATAAATATAATTCCATATCTATGTCTATATATATATATATTATATCTATATATCATATATCTATATATATATAGTATCTACTGGAAGGAAAAACCCACAATGCACAAACTAAAATGAGTTTTGTGCATATTCTCCTCGTGTTTCTCTTACCCATATTATCTCTCCACACAGTAATTTGTCTATCTTCTTGAATATACATATATATAATCCACCTATATATATTACTCTCTACTACCTATATAATATATATTCATACTATATATATATATAATATATAATGTATTCTCGTTATCATTCAATAAGAAATAACCACAATACTCGTTGTGGATTATTGGATAAGAAAAACACACCAATGCATCAAACTAACGATTTTAGTCTTGTGCATTTGTGGGGGTTTTTCTTCATCACTATATCTACTCACCTATATAATACTATATATCCTACACTTACTTATATAAGTTAATATACCACTACCATAATATATATATATATAACCTCACATCAGTCAAGTATTGACATAATAACGAACCCCAAACCACCGCGCCACGTAAACAAAGCAATCAACGATATTCATTCCGTGGAACAGACATGCAACAGAAGTGGCAACGTCGTATTGACATTATCGATTCGGCCAAATCGCTGCCCCAGGTTTGCACGACGCGTATCAAATCAAGCTGACTGCAACACCTGGACACAAGAAATTGAATGTGGGCGGCGGTCATGCGAATACAGGCGTATATCTTATTTAGAAATGAAATGTTCACGGACGTCACACGCGTTGAGGGCGTGGATGGGCAGAAAGGAGGAAGAAGGAGGGAAGTGGGAGGAGT